CAAGGAAGACCACACTTGTTTTTGTGTATTGCTCTGTTACGATTTCTAGGGCAGTCAGTTAAGCATATGCTGCAATATGTTAGTGATACAGCCATGGGGGTGGTGATAACTGAAATGAATCTGGATTAGCAACAAAGACGAGTTCAGGCGTTCTTGGTACGGTTTCTGTTCCATGACAGAAGCTCCATGACCTGCGCTTGGCTGGAGATATGTGAGATATGATGGCGTTTGTGCTTTTAGGTTCTTTCGGATTGTCTGACTCAGTGCTCGGGGATGTAGGCAAATCAGAATGGTTACGGTAGGCTGAACCATGTCCAAAGCTCATGGGCTCTTTTCTGTTCTTTTCACCTAAAAGTACAAGCAAACGTTTTTTGTGGAGATTTCGTGCTGTGAGGCCAAGGAGAAGCCGAGAAGCACTGTACAGCTACTTCATCTTCACCGGGGATTTTGTTCATGGTCACAACACTCCCGTTTGAACGGTCGTTAATTATTCCGGTGAGCTCACACCAAAGAGAAGCACTGGACTCGAGTTTTGCTCTTATCGGAGCTCACCAGCAGTGCATATCCAATGGCCGTGCCGGGATTTGAACCCCTGACATCTGACATGCGAGGTGAGCGTGCAACCACTATCCCATCAACGCATCCGAACTTTCACGTCTGAACAGGCGAACGTGTTTACAATTGAGCGATGTGATTGGTGTGCCCGACTGACTGAACGACGACCTAGTAACTGTCCTGCTTGTGACGATTGATTGACCCACCAGTCAGGACGGATATCGTCAGCAGTGCGCATCTCACTAAACTCCGCAGAGTCTCGAACCCGCAACCTCTCGGCTGGCAGTTTGAACACCTAATCCTTCGGCCTCGAGCGGCTGACCAGTAGTAGTTGTCAATTGGACAAGCTATTGCACCGCTCATCTTTCAATCTCGGGATCCACATCACGTGTTCATAGATACTGACTATGACATCTCATATGGAAGTTTAATTCATTGGGTGAAGTTCATTCTTCAGGAATTTCCTGAGGTGCGCACTGTTGATCACTCCCAATAAGGATGGAACAGCTGTACAGGGCTTTTCGATTTTTCAGCATAGATTGGCTTCACCTTCAGGACGAAATCTCCACAAAAAACAAATAAATAAACTTTGAGCTTGTACAGTATTGCCTCATGAAGTTAAATCATTTATGACAATGAGGGTTGTGTTGGTAGCCAATAAAGCTTATGAACTGAAACGTCCCATGTGCAAATATGAACTTCAAAAGTATTAGAAATTCCAAAGAGGAGCTTCAAAAACGGGACAATGAAACTAGGCAGCTAGATAGAGTATAAATGACGTGAGAAAACGCGGGCCGAAGATTCAAGCAGTTTACTCAAAGGCTACTTAAGTTCTCCTCAATATCTAGAATTACGAATAGTCCTTAAGAGTTGCGTTCACTTTTACGTCAGATGCAAAACGTAGCAGAGGCTCCTGAATGGTTCCCTTAATAAACTATTCCATAATTCTTTCACATTATTTGTCCAGCTGCTTCATGATGGTTCACGCTCCAATACAATACAATCCCGAGGAAAAGTTATTGAAGCTATGGAGCACACGGTTGTGTACTTCTCTCATTTGTGTAATAAATAATATAATCTGAGGTGTCAAAAAGCGGATGCAAAGTATTCCTGCGAGAGCTGATTCAGTGGACCAGATTTGAACTCAGGCGAAAGCAATCAATACAACCATGACTTTTTGAAGGTCGTCCCCGGGTGATTTTAGCGTTTAGGCGCTTGGTACTCACTTATATGTCAGTTTGTTTGGATACTTTTATTCTCCATGTAGAGCGTCAAACGACAATTCATGTGGTTGAAAAAACGTGATTGTCCATGCTTTCAAACAGTCTAGGAGATACCAATCGATTTTCGTTTTGAATGTGACGATAGCATGCATAAAGATTTTGTGGTTGACTGATGTAAACAAATTACGGCTGTTGTGTCATAAGACAGTTGGCTTTACGCATAAAAAGGTTTATTTATAGAGTAGTTTCTTTGCGGTTCAACTTAACTGCATTGAAGTTTCAAAACCCCAGTCCGTTTTAATTTACTTCGGTACATTTCTCCAAATCACTAATTGACCAATTCCATTTTCCGCGTTCTTTCGTTGTTTCCTCTTTAGGTGTCGAGTATCCTCACATTTCGCTCAATCCTTCAACGGAGATCGACTCCTTCAGTTTTGTGATGATGATACACTGTTTCTGGTCAGTATGAACTTTCAGCATAAACGTTCGAATCGCCTAAGCTGGTGGCCACCAACTGCAAACCAACCATAAACCCAGTAGGACCACGTGGCCATCAGCCACCGGTGGAGAGCCGCAATTCAAGACTGCCGCTCCTTCTGGGGCACACCACTTGATTCCGATCACGCCGTGGTGCGCGCACGCCTGACAGTTTGTATCCCTTCAGGCCCTCTCAAGTCGGCAAGAAACGTGCCAATCCACTATCTTCGAAGAACTGCCATAGCTCAACAGTATCGATCTGAGCTAGCCCAACAACTCTCCACAGTAAAACAATACTGTGGTGGCAGTGAACATGTGGATGAAGCGTGGCAAAATATGAAAGGAGCTATACTAGCGGCGTTCAGTGCTGCATGCCCGACTTCTCCTATTCGACCACAAGACCACTGGATGTCGTCGAGGTCGTTATCCATGATTGGTGCCAGGAAAGCCACACCAGCGGGCAATGAGTACGACGGCGCACGCAAATCCCTCAAACGCCAAATAGTGAAGAGTCTAAAGAAAGACCGAGAGCTCTGGTGGATATCGAAAGCTCGGGAGATGGAGAGGGATTTTGCTGCGAGAATCAGCCGTGCCCTTTATCAATTGGTACGATCGACTGGCCCTAGGAAAGCAACGGTCAGTGAAACGATAAGTGAAAAAGATGGCTCATTAAGTCACTGGAGAGATGGGCCCAACACTTCGAAGAGCAGTTCAGCTGGCCTCCTGCAACACAGCAGGTGGAGATAATGCATACGGGCGAATGGAATGTAAACCTTGATCGCCCTTTAGAAGACGAAATAAGGTACGAAATAGCTCTATTAAAACGTGAGAAGGCACCATGCGGTCTGTATCCAACCCTCTTCATAAAAGGCGGAAAATCCCTGGTGACCCATCTGACGAAGCTTATTGGTGCTATATGGGACGAAGGGAAAGTGCCTATCTTCAAATAGGGTAGGCAGACGCCATGTGAAAACCACCGTGGCATCAGTGTGCTAGCTGTTACGTCGAAGGTTCTTTCTGGTCTTATCATTCGAAGGCTGATTGAACACAGGGCGAGACAGATCCGTGAAAACCAAGCTGGGTTCCGTCCTGCAAGAGGTTGCATCGACCATATCTTCACTCTCCAACAACCACTGGAACAGCGACACTGCTTCCAGCAGCCTACAATGGTTGTTTCTTGATCTGAAATCTGCTTTTGACTATATAGACCGCCAGGCACTATGGCATTGTCTGTAGAGCAAATGTATCCCCATAAATTCTTGGCCCTCTTTAAGGAGCTGTACACCAACTCCTACGGTCGTGTGAAGGTCTCCGGGATCACGTGAGATCATCTGAGATCATCATATCAAGTAGTGTCAGACAGGGCTGTCCTCTTTCCCCTTTCCTCTTCAACTTTGCCATTGGCACGATCATGGAAGATTCACTACCAGCCTCCAATGACTGTGGGGTCGAAGTGCTTCCTGGGCGTTCGCTCATAGACATCGAGTACCCAGACGACATAGCTCTTCTGGGATCTGACCCCGTGGTAATGTAAACAATATTAAATAATCTAAATTATTCTACCCTGTGGTTTGGCATGCACTTCGCACCTGTAAAATGTAAAATGCTGCTGCAAGACTTGGTGGGCTCTAACCGTAGCCTCATGCTTTCGGATGAACCCATTGAGGCGGTAGACTAATTTGTTTACCTGGACAGCCCTATTAGTCCCCGTGGTCTCGCGAAAGATTGTACTTCCACCCGGATTGAGAAGGCCAGAGCAGCTTTTGTGAGACTGCGTCACCTGTGGCGTAGGCATGACATCAACTTATCCGCCAAGGGTCGAGTTTACAATGCTCCGTAGTGCTTACGGATTAGAAACCTGGCCACTGCACACCGAGGACGTCAAAACACTTTCGGTGTTTGACCATTGATGTCTTCGGAGCATTGCCCGAGCCTGGTAGGAACATCGGATCATCGATGCTGAACTACGTCGAATAGTGTTTCAAAGAAATAACTCACCCACGGTAGATGAACTGGCTTGGCCACGTGCTGCGTATGCCAGTCGACCGACTTCCTCGAAGAGTCCGTTTTATACAACCACGTGAAGGATTGGAACGAGCTATGGGAGGTTGAACAATGACTTGGCAGCGAAGTATGAAAGCTATGAACAGCAAACTCAGCTGCGCCGGTCATTGCCCCCTTTCTGGCTGGGGACCCCTAAACGGGCTACGTCAGTGGTTAGAGACATTGTCAGAGACGTCCAAGTCGCGCTCTCAATGGCACTCGGGCATCCAACCTATCGCTTTTAGTGTATAGCTCCTTTCCGAATCCCCCATTTAACAGTCCACCTACAGTGCTTTATTTACGCACTAATTTATCATCTCCCACCTCCAATGCACTTCTACCTACCCCACCTTCACAAATCATCGGTGAACGAAACGGTGGCAGCTAAAACCACTGTACGACAAGTACGCGGTTCTTACAGCTGACAGTGATGATGATGGTGATTTTAGCAGCTAGAGGAGAGCCTCCTTCTTTTTTCTCTATTTATCGTTTATCGCAACCCTTGCATCGCAATCTGTATGTAGAATGCTTCTTCAACTATTGATATCATTTTCCTCTTGATTTCCATAGTGTCATTCACAAGGTGTGCGTAGGTTTCACTTCATGTGTACTCTCCAGGGGAACGGCTCCTCTCTATACAGGATCACCATCTGAATTTTTGAATTTAAATTTGAACACTGCTGTCAGTCGAACTATTGAAGCATGAGGGCTGGGATATTGCCAGGTTCCCCACGCCTAGACAGGGAAAGTCGCGAGGCAGAGGTCGGATTCGAACCACGGACCTTCCGGTCAGTAAATTCGCGCTGTAGCCATTTGAGCCATCTCACCATCTCGAAATTGTGAATATAAGCATAAAAAGACAGATATCACAGAGGTAGATGCTAGGGACAAAAACCGTAGAATTCAAGGGCGACAAGCTTCCGTTCAGATGCCTCACACAGCTGATTAGTTGATTCGCATCGCTGTTCTGTGTAATCAGGCTAACCGATACGACAGGTTACAAGAAAGAACCACTGGCACATGTTCCAACGAGCCTGTCTTAGTCATGACTTTCCAAGATGATAACGTCATGTGTTTCCGAGCAACAAATACCCCTACGCTTTTGCATACTCAGTCATGCGCAAGCATCTGTGAATCAGTCACGAGCAGTACCACCATCAGTTAGAACGACCCGACAATCACTTGTTTTGTGTGCATAACACATCAGCTGATATCACACATATACTTACAAGGATTTGATCGAAAATCGATAGGCGTGCATGTTTGGTATCTCTCATATACTTCTTCCTCTTACAGATTATTTGAAACTGGAAAAAGGTTGTATCTTACAGTTCAGAGTCTTCGGGTAAGTAAATTGACGCACAATGAACGTTTCTCACGAATGCAGTGGGTGTGTTCGTAATTTGGGCGATTTGGTTAAGCTACCATAGCATATGAAAGCTGCTCCCAACAGGAAATCCATTTGTATGATACTTAAATGCTTGAAATTTGTTTTTTTTTCAAATTTTGGATCAGTAAACTATATCAGGAGGTAGTACTTACTTTTCACAATGAGTTCATTTTTGTTTGGGCGCAATTGAGAACCCTAATCGTTCACCTGTCTAGGTATAGGCGCTACACTGTTGGACCAGCCCCCTGTACAACCATGATTCCCGGTACAGCAGCGTAGAACAAGTGTACTCTGCTGCCCAAGATGACGATGATGATGATGATGATGATGATGATGATGATGATGATGATGATGATGATGATGATGATGCT